GCACAGAAAAGTGCCAAATAGTGATCCACTCCTACTATGGAATGGCTGCAAACGCTACCAGCTCATAACTGCTCCCTATGGGTTATAAAGCTTCTTCCGCAGGGGACGGTTCGCGGCTCCAAAAGCCTGATTCTCTATTGAGGTCAATTCAAATTTCAAGACGTTTTTTGTTTAATAGGAGACCTACGACTGCTAAAACGTGTAAATCTTTTAAATTTGTTGAGTACAAAGATTTGTTGCTGACCTACAAAATTTTAATCCACTTCAGCAATCTCTAGATATATATTTTTTTAAATACGACTCCAAGCATCACGAATGGCTGTGATTGGTCCATCCTGACTAGCGATGAGAAAAGTAAAAGGGGTCACATGACGCTTCTCCTCAGAGTGGCATGCATACTTTTTTAATATACATATTTATTTTATATGCTCTATATTGTCAGTTGCGAAACTTAATATTCTAATTTATAATTCATTAATTATTTTTTTTTATAAAATTGCAGATAAAGCATTTTAAAATAAATATTTTATTTTATATGAATCAATATAAAATACATAAAATATTTTGTATGATTAATAAATTATCTAATCAGATCATAAGCAAGTTTAAAATACACGGTGAAGCGTTAAAAAGAAAAATATTTTTCACCCATCGCATGTTACCCCTAAGCCCCGCCCATTTGAGAACACAAGTGTCACGTTACGTGTCATTCCACCCACTCGTTCTTCTATTTCTATGGGATTGATCGAGGCGACCCAGTAGTACGAGCTTCCTGCTACATTGTGATCTTCTCTCAGGCTTCCTTTGCTCATTTCCGAATTAAGCATGAGGAAGGATAGCAAGAATGCCGTGCAAACAATGTACAGATGAGGAATGTTGAATCAACCTTAAAATGTTAGTTCTCACAATCGTGGTTTTTACCGTTTTGCATAATGAAGATGCGTGTCTTTGTATGTGTATGCTTTCAAGATCAGAGGCTGCATAGATCTACATGAATCGATGGATGAAGACTTGTTTGGGTTTAATTTTGCATGTATGTTCTATATTTGGAGGACCTGTCTCAAGAGATCATATGGTAGTTTCTCAAATACTCAAATCTAGAGCTCATCTCTAACTGGGACAGTAGCTTGGAACATCTCTATATATTTCTAGGTCATCTTTGTTTGCTAGACTTAGTAGTGAGGACTAAAAGGCTTTTTGCAATACAAACTTGAACTGAATTTCCAAAACAATTACTTTAAACTTTGAAGAGCTAAAAGTGAATTTGTTTATTAAAATGTTCTTTGTTTTGTCTCCATGTATAGCATTTATTTAATGGACTGTGGTGAACTAAAGGCACTTGGGTCGAAATATGGAATCTGTCCGTCAGTCTTTTTTCCTAGATGGCATCAGTTGACACAGAGGAAGACATCAGCGGAAACTGATCTGGTCAAAGAAGATGCTTCATCAAATATCCAGCTCCCAAACGCTTTCCACTTTGCTTACTTTTTGGCCAGACCAAAATGATAATGTTCAAGATTTCAGGAATTTGGACAGGTTATGACTTTCAGGTCAAGATTTTCTGTCCTCTTTCTATTTAAGATTTCCCTTACTGTATGCATCATAAAAGTGTTTAACCACAAGAGTCATAATGCGTATCAGTTTTTGCCAGGCTCTGTTAACAGGAGCAATAATTTTGAATTTGCTTATCCTATATTATGTCTCACGGGCCCAGCAGCAAATGATGGAGAAGCGTCGGGAACAAAGTAAAGGCTTAAAGAAGGCCTCTCTGCCTGTGGCAGGACTGGGAGCTATGGGTAATCTGGTAGGTGGAAGTATGGTTGGAGGCGCCAAAATGGGAGGCCTTGAGGGCAACATGCGTGGTCCACGCGTCACGATCCTCGTTCGTGAATTTGAAGACTTTGAAAATTATGTTGGTGATGTTGCACGCTCCTTTTTGCGCCAGAGACCGGAGTTGCCCTTCCTTGCTGTAGCCGAAAGTCCACCGTACCCTCCTCTGGCTCTTCCAGAGGCAGCCCGCCTCCTGGTATTGTCACCGAGCCCTGACCAGCCTCCACAAACTCACCGTCCGGAGTTCAATGTGCAGACGGAGTTTGCTTTGTTGGTTCCAGATGGCATGGAGCTGGACCACGGCCGACAAATTGAGCGTCTCATTCGGGAGCTGGAAGGCGAAGGTGGCGGGCCGGTCCGACTCGTTGCCGCCCCTGTGCTGATGCGCTCTGCGGTGCAATGCCTGCACCTTCGTGTGAATCTGCGGGAATGGACTGCGACCTACACCCCTGCGGCCTCAGGGAGCAGCGATGGCGTCTGCACAGCTCTGCAGGGAGATGCCGTGGTTCTTATCCGCACCGAGGACCTCTTCAATCTCTCGGTTCCCTTAGGGCGCCCTCTCCTGTCTTCCTTGTTTGTCCAAACTTCTCTGCGTGGCTGGAAGGTCAAGCTCCTGGAGGGACCTTCGTTCTCTGCAAGTCATCGCCCACTATTTAGCTCAGCGCACAACCAGTGGAAGGCGGACAGTTGCCTGAAAGACGCCACCAATCACCTCATGCGTAGCTTCGGCCTGAAGCACGTGGTGCTGGCTGATGGTCGGCATCAGTGGTTTGGCTGCAGTAAAGAGACTCCACGATGTTTCGGCACAGTGCGTGATGACACACCGGAATACCTCTACATAGAGCGCTGGACTCCACCTTGCTGCTTGCGCGCCCTCCGAGAGACCACTAAATATGTTATCAATATCTTGGAGAGCTCCGGCGTACGTTACTGGCTGGAAGGGGGTTCCTTGTTGGGAGCAGCCCGACACCAGGACATAATCCCTTGGGACTACGACGTGGACTTGGGCATCTACTTAGAGGACATTCCGAATTGCGACTACCTAAAGAGCCTAGACTCTGGCTCACTGGTGGATGCTAACGGCTACGTGTGGGAGCGAGCGGTCGAGGGTGACTTCTACCGTGTGCAGTATAGTGAAGCCAACCATTTGCATGTGGACTTGTGGCCCTTCTACCCTCGCAATAGAGTTATGACTAGGGACACTTGGACTGAGCACAAACAAGACGTGGAGTTCCCAGAGCATTTTTTGCAGCCCCTGGTGCCAATGCAGTTTGCCGGCATCACTGCTTATGGTCCGAACAACCACCGTGCCTTCTTGGAACTCAAGTTTGGGGAAGGGGTTATTGAGAACCCCCAGTATCCAAACCCTGCCAAGAAAAGACTGGACAGGAGTCGCATGTTAGGATCGTAGCAAGCAGTAACTTGTGCCACAATTACGCAACACTGCATTTCTATTGCATTTCTGACATTTTAAACTTTGTAGAGTAATACTATCAGACTGAAGGTTTTGAACTGTATCTGTTAACTTGAATGTTAGTATTTCTTGCCGATTTTTGAATGTTGAGCAGTGAGCTAATTGGCTACCAATACAGGAGAGAACCAATCAGCTGTGCCATGTGATGATGTCATTAGGTCAGATTGAGTGAGACCTATCGGACTGCGCCATCTAGAGTTTCATGCCAGAATTCTCTATTTATTGTATGTGTGTATTGTGGTTTGGGAAGTCACGAGTCTCAAAAGTAGTCTAAACACACTGTATGTAACAATGTCTAAGTATGTAATATTTCACACTGCATGATCCCAGAAAATCACATTCAAAGGTCAAAGCTTTTTTTGTTATACATGAATATTAATATATTGGTTTCAATAACAAATAAACACTAAACAAAATTTAACATTTTTAAACTGATTGCCAGAGAAACACCAGTTTTAAAGAGCCTATATCACCTATTGCATTAGTGCATCATTTACAGTAAGTGCTGGCGTATGGAAAACTGATTCATGTTTGTAGGCCCACAAGTGAAGCATTTAATAACCAAGACAGCTCATTAAAACCTTGAAAGGACTTAACTGCTTTTCAACATAATGGTCTGTATTATACCACAATGAACTTTGTAGAGTGTAGGATGTTTTTGTTGACATGTGATGGCACTGGTGTACACTGAGACTGAAATGTCCTTTTAACAAGGTTTTTATTTTTATTTTTTGGAAATGGTTTACCTGTGGAAATGGAAAAGGTTACATAAAATGCCAGTGAAAAGAAGCTACTGTTTTATGCACTCTTTTAAATGATATTTGCACCATGTTGCATGATAATAAATGTGTACTTTTTTTTTTTGACTGTCAGACTGTTTTTGACCTTAATTTTCTTTTAATGTAACTTTTTTTTTTTTGTCTTTGTGTTTCACAAATATACTTTGTAATTAATGTTCATTATGTACATACATCATGACCACCAAATATTTAACAAACAGCATAACACAAACCAAACTGTATCTTAATGTGTCAGTGTATTCCAGATGTCTGGAAATAAACCATCACACAGAATTGCATTTGGAGTTTTCATTGCAAATGTTACAGGAAAATGGTAAATAGACCACAAGGTGGCGCAATAGGACATGAAGTATTCATGCTGGGCTTGGTTACTGATATCCTACCCAGTTTGTACAGTATCTTTACTGGGCAATCTTCAAAGCATCCTTAAAAATTTTGCTTTTGTTTACAGCAACACATTTTACGTGTTCAGTATTTGACAACCCATTCTGAATGAATCAAACAGAGGTAAGTCAGCTGATATCTTGTGAAACTAAGTAGTCTTGCATCACCCTAAAGTGGTGTATTTTTGCAATAATAACCACTGACTATATATTATATTGCTTATTAAATGGCTTCTTACCAAAGACCATTGACTTAATTCGAGTCATATGATGTGAAACTAGCACAGCTATGTAGGAAATCAGCAAAAATCACCATTATACAAAATATCTAACCACAGAATGCCACGATTAACCAATCAGTACACCAGAGGGCAGTAAAATAAACTTGCTATAGATAAGAAATCTGAAAACCAAACAAGTGGTTCAGTTATCCTAATTGCAAAGTCCTCTGGGACCTAATGCATTCCTAATTTTAGCGACTTCAACTCATAAGAAAGAGAACATCACAGCTGATTTAGTTAAAAAAATACTTTATTCTGCAGTCGGTGTGGAGTACATTCACTGGTTCTCTTAACAGTACTCTTTGGCTCCACTGATATCATCAAGCAGCCCTTTATGACACAACCACCCATTAAACTCACACACAGACACATAGTTGCATCAGCAGAGCAGCTACACTACAGCCACCTGGAATGAGAAGCCTTTACAGTACTGGCTTTTAAAGGAGTGATGTCAGAACATTTGTGAGATTTGAAAAAAAAAAATACATCTGTGATTTGAAATACATCTCGAGCACTAACAGAACAGAACAGAAATGATAGACTGTTAATAATGCAGATTACAAGCACCAACCCCCCTATTTAAAGTATATATATTGCTAAATTAATATAAAAAATGAGAAATGTTTCTTTGGTCGGATTTAACCTCTTATTGATCAACTGAGAGTCAAACCAATTTCTACAAAAATGGGCTATTATGTCGACTTCCTTCGGTGACAAACATTGTCAACATACAGTACAATGGCAAATGTCTCTCACCCTGTCATCTGATACTTTCCTTCAGCTGGTGTTTAGGTTATACATTTAGAAAAAAATAAAAATAAAAAATAAAAAATAAAATATATATATATATATATAAACTGAGTTAGTAATCCAGTACAACTACTACTCACAGTTAACAAACATTCACCAGTAAATGGTCTTAACAGAATATTTTGCCTGATTTCTCCTCAAAGTTATCTACCTTCACAAAACGCCAGGCATTTTATATTTGTGCTCTTCTGCAATAACATACATAGGAAAAAAAAAAAATCAACAAGATCTCAGAAGTACGCTTTTAAAAAGCAAACAAAATTGAATACTTCATTTCTGCATATTTTACATAAAAGGGCATTTTTTGTACACAATTTAAGCCAACAAAAAGTACATTTAAACAAAAACAAAAAAGGAAGAAAAAAAGGAAATTGAGAGAAACCCAAACATTTCAACACATCTAACATGTTCCTACACAAGGAAGCTGCTTAGCCTTATTCTAACTTAAATACAAAATATAAAACCTTAGTTCCAGTCTGAATTCACGCTCTAATCTATGGCTTTCTTCTGAAACGGATCGGTTTACACCTCTTGACCTCACTTGCGTATCAACCAGCACATAGGGAACTTCATTTACCTGCAGACTTCAAGGTTCTGACCCAAAACAGCCTTGGAGCTTTAAGACAAGGCTTACTTTGCATGTCACCCATATATTATTATGCTTACATTCCTGTCTGACCTTAGGGTGCAAATTGACCCCGAAGAGCCCGCCGTGAAATATAATGGTGACTGCATAAAGATAAAGACGCAGAATGTAAGATGTCAGTTAGGCTTCTTACACCATTCTTTTGGCTCCTCTAGTAGCAGGAGTTTAGTGAAGGTATTAACACCTGTTAGATGGACCTGCATCTGAGGAGCCAGAGGTGGCATAAAGGGAATCGGCATGAATGAGGTATTTCAGCATAACGGACCATAAAGCCACCTAAAAAATTTATTTGGTGTGTTTGAAAGATGCAGAGAGATTCTGCGGATGCTTTGGCTTATTAGGAGATGTTTTATAAAGGTGTTAAGAGAAATCTGAGTTTTAACTCAATAGCATATAATCAGAACTATTAGGGCATGTGTGATCATAATCAGGGCCGTCCTTAGCGGACGCGGGACCCCCCTCGGTCGTGATCGCGTTCCGGGGTGGGGGGTTTGGTGTCCCTTCAGTCCATTCGAGATCGCGGGGGGTTAGGGGGGGTATGGGTGGTGATGGGACCCCTCGGTCCATTCGCCGCGGGGCACGGTGCAACCGTACCAGTTGCACAACCCTAAGGACGGCCCTGATCATAATTATATAGATTATTTTAAAAGGCCGGACTGAGTTTTTCTTAAAAAGAAGTAAAGCAAACATAAAAAAAAAAAGACTATAAAGAAAAAATCCAAAATGTCTGACCAGCATCTAATAAATAATTGTTCAAGTATTTTTCCATCTAAATGTGCATAAGTTTTGGCAGACTCCTTTCATAACGAGCAGGGCATAGAGGAGGGTCAAAAGGATGTATTCTTTCTCCTGTCTTAATCTAAACCTGTATCTCTCCCATGGTCACTGCGTAGATGCAGAGATTGATTTATTGAGATCAGACAGGTCAAAAGGAAAGTTTGTTAAAATAGTGTGCAAGTCTACATGACGGACTCCTTTTCACAGGGTTTAGGTCCAGCCACCTCTTCCAATTCAAGGCTTCCCTGTTTTTCGATGAGCGGAGAAATTTCTGGCCTGGAGGCGGGGTTTTCTTCATCCACTCGCACCTTATTTAGCTCCGCCCCCTCTTTACTGGAAGTGCGATCCACGAAATACTGCAGAAGACCTGCTCCGTAGGCGTCGCCTTCAACATTGATGACGGTGCAAGTACGATCGCTAAACGAAGAAATATAGAAAACAAAAAAAAATTATCTTCACTGTACAAAAAAAAATTGAGGACATAAAATTAATACAAGCTTTATTTAAAAAAGCTGTTGTATTAACACAATGTCAAGGCCTTTCCACACTGAGCGCGATGCGAAAAAGCGAAGCGAATCGCCGACGAACGGTTCTTTCACACCGAACGCGAAACGATTGTTCGCCTTCTGCTAATTCACGCCTGCACGCTAGGTGGCGCCGACCAACAATACATTTTTCCTCAGATATGTATCTCGTAAATGGATTTAACATCATCTGCTGCTCAATATACAGCTTTAAATTAAGATAAACAAGGTTCTACACCAGAAACAAATGATCTATAATGCTTACAAGAATAGGCAACATCCTAAAATATAATTAGAAGTACAATTAGCATCAAGCTACACTTGAAAATGTATGTAATTATTAATGTATTTGCTTACCCACTTTAAACCATCATCGAGTGCTTGTAATAACTTCCAGTTGTGATCTATAGTTGATTTTGATTAATAAGCAGACACATGCACTCTTTGTATGTTTAATAATGCTACACTGCTAATATTTGTCATAAACATCCTTTATTGTTATAAAAATACCATGAGCTGCATACAAAACACATTCAGTAAATATATAGTCATAATCATGTCTATTTGCTTTCATATTTACAGCTGCTCCGGTCACGTGATCCTAGCTCAAATCTTATTGGACGGCCCCGTGTTTTCGCTTTGCAAAACTGAAAATATTTGTCGGACTGATTCGAATAAAAAGAAAATTCGCATTTTCAGTGCGTGAATGTTCGCGGTCTATGTAGAAGCATCCATACAAATCTATGGTTTTATTCCAGCACGTCATCGCGTCCGATATTCGTTTCGCCATTATATATATATATATATAAAATATAATATAATAAAGTAAAGAAAATAAACTTTAATTATTAAAATACAATCATCTCTTCCTCAAGCACTCTTAATTTCAAATTATTTTGTACAAATACTTCATAATACTTGTGTGTGTGTGTGTGTGTGTGTATTTATTCAAAATTAACTGCCTACTTATAAAAGTCAAAACAGTCAGAATTCATGAGACTTTTTCCATTCTTTTTCTTATCCCTCCCAGCTATCCATACTAATGCTTTACCATCTTTCTCTTGACCCACAAAAACATCTAAACCAGATACTCACACAAGCCAGTCCACAGCCAAAATGAGGGACAGATCGTTGGTGGGAAGACCTACTGACTCCAAAATGATGGCCAGCGTCAGCACCCCTCCAGCAGGGATCCCAGCAGCTCCCACGCTAGACGCCGTCGCAGTCACACTACAAACAGATATAAAGTCAGTCAGTCAAAGTCAACGTCTTCCAATCAAAGCAGAGTATGGAGGTGGCTGAAAGACATTCAATGAACTCACAGGATGGTGATGACCTGGACGAAGTCCAGCGGGATCCCGTTAAGCTGAGCGATGAACACCGCAGCTACACACTGGAAGCAGGCGGCTCCGTCCATGTTGACGGTCGCTCCGATGGGCAGGATGAAGCGGCTGATGTGCTTGGACACACCGTTGTTCTCCTCCACACATTTCATCATAAGGGGCAATGTGGCAGAGCTGATCAGAAAATCTGATATTTATTTCCTGCATAATTGTGCATTTGCAATATTCAATTAATAAATGTAATCAAACTAAGGTAACTAATCAAAATTGGCGTAATAAGACAAAATCCATTTAAGGCTAGGAATCTGATCACAAGTGGTCACAGGAGACACAGCTGAGGCACACCTTACTTCCAGGAGAGGTATTTTCAGACCACTTGTGTTTGGATCAGAGACTGATGTAAATACCGGGTTTTAAACCGGCCTACACTAATACAAAATAAAGGCTCCAAAATGATGTTTTCACACCCATACCAAGAACAACCTTTTGGGTTCCCCAAAGAACCTTTCAGTGGACAGTTCCACTATAAAGAACCTTTTGTGCAATGGAAAGGTTCCATGGATATTAAATGTTCTTCATGAAACCATAGACGCCAATGGAGAAGCTGCTTATTCATTTACCTAGAGGACGTTCCAAAGGCAGTAGCCAAAGCGGTGACCAATCCCAGCAAGAAAGTGTATGGGTTCTTCCTTGTAATCACAAAGTAAATGAATGGGAGGACAAGAAGACCGTGGATGGCATGGCCAATGACGCAGCAGGCGATGTACTTCCCCAGGCTGGCGAACAGCAAGCCAACATCCTCCATTTCCACAATCTTAGCAGCAACCAGGAACATAATACCCAGTGGTGCATACCTACAGACAGAAAAACATGAGATATGGTGTCAGGGAAGTGAAGAGACGAATATATATAGGACACCACAATTCAAACATTCGAAACAAACACTGGGAAAAACATGTGATGTTCCCTTACCACATGATCCAGGAGACCAACACCATGGTGGCCTCATTGAAAGAGTTGAAGAACTTGATAAGGATCTCTCCTTCCTCCCCAAGTTTCCTCAAGGCCACACCAAATGCCATAGCAAAAACGATGAGACCCAGGATGTTCATGCCATCCACATCTGTGCCAACTGGAACCTAAACACAAAGACATAAATGACTGAATTCACACACACAAAAAAAAGAAATACTTTTTTTTATATTAACCACTAATATTTCAAGTTATTTTTTCATGCATAAATTAAATTATAATATTATTATACTGTAATAATAAACTGTAATAATATATATTTTTATAAATGTATTTAGAGAATTGTAAAAACATAAATTATATTTATATTTATTTATCAAATAAATAAAATGAGAATCTGGACTTTCAAGACTATTCTAAAGGACTTTGTACCTTTTCCAAAGAGAAGTTGGTCGAGTTGGTGTCATTCTTTACAAACTTGTAACTAGTGGCATACTGTGAAGAAAAAAAAAAAGTTCAGAATCGTCTAATAAATCGCACATCACATAGAAAACGCATAACCAAAAGCTTAAACCAAAGATTGTTAAACTCACCGACTGAAAGGCAGCTGATACCAGGTTAGATGGGAAAATATTTCTGAAAGACGAAGAAAGGAAGGAGTTATATTTATGTAACTGTATATGATATACTCTAAATCTATATCTAGACAGCAACGTTCCCGAATCTATATACTCTAAATATCAGATATGATATGAATTGCCCATTACATCGTAGTACCGAGTAGTCTGTCCACATGTTGGCAAGGAAAAACTTGCATGGCCGTTAAACTTTGTCATTTGTTGTAACATGTTGTATATGCTACTTTTTAAAATAAAAAAAAAACAATGAATTACAAAAAAAGAAACACTTGCATGGCCCCATGTTTCACAGTCAAAAAGAATCAGACGAAGTGGAACAAAAACAAATACCGGAGACTCAATCAACCAACGATAGATGCCTGCGTTGACAAGCAATTGAGTTAGTTGGTCAAAGACACTCACAATTCACAGACATTTTTATTTTAACTCCTGGACAGAAATAGTGAAGACAGAGGACAAGGATGAAACTCTCTACTAGCGTGTTTGCATCAAACGCATGTGCTCACACACTATCAAATAGTGCACACTTTGGTAGTTCGGCTGTATATGCAAAGCATTTGCATCAAAACTGAAGTATATTTTTGGGGGTTTGGCAAACACGGTCCAGAACAAGGTAGTGAGAGAACAAAGATCCAATTCTACCTCTCACAGATTCAGCCCACTGGAAATAAAAATCCTCAAAGTCCTAAACACCCAATCCCAGAGCGGCCTGGCCTCACGAGATGCCTCATGTGGAAATAACTTGGAGAATTTAGTCCGATTATAACCCTCTACTAATCCCAGTTCCACACATTACCTCCCATCCATATAACCCCATTCCCTCCAATGGAGATGGGCACTAGGGCCTGCCTGGAGACTGGAGATGAGGATTAACGTCAAACACAGACATTTATTCAGGAATATTCCAGCATGCCTGACCTTAATATGGTGTGCATACAAAAAAAAAAAAAAACGAGGAACTATGAAACCTGTGTGCCACCCTTTTTCCAAGTAAAATCACATAAACAGCTATGGTTGAGCTACATTTCTAAAAAGCGCCATTACAGGCCAGATTCTGAACTTGCCCATAGGGAGCTTTCCAGTACATCGCAATCATTCCCGCTAACATCTAGAGAAGCCTGGAAGGTGTAAGGAGACTAGTACTATCATAAAATAATGCAGCCGGAGCAAGACTAGACTGGAAAACCTAGGGAAGAACAGCTTAAAATTTGCTGCATCCCAGACAGCAGGTCACTGCCATACACCAATGCCAGTGGTCGTTCCCTTGTGTGCCACCCTTTTTCCAAGTAAAATCACATAAACAGCTATGGTTGAGCTACATTTCTAAAAAGCGCCATTACAGGCCAGATTCTGAACTTGCCCATAGGGAGCTTTCCAGTACATCGCAATCATTCCCGCTAACATCTAGAGAAGCCTGGAAGGTGTAAGGAGACTAGTATTATCATAAAATAATGCAGCCGGAGCAAGACTAGACTGGAAAACCGAGGGAAGAACAGCTTAAAATTTGCTGCATCCCAGACAGCACGTCACTGCCATACACCAATGCCAGTGGTCGTTCCCTTCTCACATTTCCTTCGTCTGAACATTGAGGAAAGTTAGAACTGAAGACACGTGCGAAACCAGCATAGCAACATTAGTAAAACCAGTTCATCCCGTTGAAATATTTAATTGACGCACTCAAATGTTGTCACTGCTTTTCAAAGAGTCACATTCAAATCCAGTGAGCTGGTTGGACTGAGCACTTTATCCAACATTCACAACTACTAATACCACACAACGACAATTTCATGACTCGATGCATTCCAAGAATGGCTTTATGATGTGATGTTCCTGCTTTCTACGTAGGCGTGTAAACAGTGAGACACGTCAAACAGGACCTCTTCGAAACGTGGCACTCCACACACCTTATCAAAGCTTTCGTCAAAGATTTATCTTAAGTTCGGTGTTTGTTGACATATTAAAAGTAACTATTAACAAGTAAATGTACCTACACTCTGACTTTGCCCTGTCTAAAATAAACTTTCACAAAGTTTAAACAAAAAAGGCAATGATGGGGAAATTGTGGGTTTCACATGCACTGTACACAAAGTGTATGCTAATGCATTAAAGGAACAATTTACCCAGAAAACATTTACCGACCGTCATGTCATTCCGAACCCTGACTGCCTTTCTTCAGTAAAGCACAAAAAAAGAAAATTAGCAGAATGTCCAAGCTGCTCTTTTCCATACAAAGAAAATGAATGGTGACCACAAGCTACTGAAGCAAGTTTTTCAGCAAAACACCTTAAATTTCAGTTTGTTCCACACATAAACCAATCAGTATAGCTTGAAAGATGTAAAATGTAGTGCATGAGTTGTGTCGATCATTATTATAGTGTTTTTTGGCCTGAACAGCCCATTCGCTTTAACTGTATGGAAAAAGAGCAGCATTAACATTCTTCAAAACTTCTCCTTTTGTGTTCCCCAAAGAAAGAAGGTCATAAGGGTTTGCAACAACAAGACTCACTTAACCTTTAAGATAAACTATATCTTTTGCGTAACACGGGGCAAGGAGGGCTTGTTCCACAAATGTTGTTGCTGTCAGGGGTCTTTCCGTCGCACTGAACCTGATAAGGCAATGCAACTACAGATAACAGATGAACCAAGTTGAAACTTGCAGAAACTGAAAAATCTAGCCTAATGTGAGAGTTAACAAAATGCATAAGCTGTCAAGCAAACTTACTAAAAACATGACAGAACCCGTTTGTAGACTTTCTATAGAAAGACCATCCAACTGCGTGCTTGTCAGAGTGTGGAATTAGCAGGGCTCCACAGTGGTCCTTGCGAATGTATGGCAGGATTTAGTCACAGTGAAAGCCCAAGAGAGAAGCCCCTTTGATGGACGACACAAGCCACATCAGCTGCCTAATTAACCCTGCTTCTATTGTGCATGTCTGCATGTGTTTGCACGTGCATGTTGCCCTCATATGGCAGGCACACGCCGCTCATTGACTTGCCCTGGAGACACAGCCAAAGAAGAAACATTACAAATGTTTCAGTTTGGCTTTAAATTAGGGTTCTAATTATGGCCAAAACCACTCTTTTAAGTGTCAAGTTACTGCTGAATTCTGGTGAATTGTATATTTTGAGGAACTGGTCATAAAGTATGAAACAAGGAAGCACATGGAAACTAAAATAGCTGTCCCACCAGGAAGAGACTATGTTACAGGAAGAGAAAAAAAAACAGAATTTTAGCAGAATAACTAACTTCTGTTGGAATGAAGTTATTAAACTGTATTAAACTACAGTGATCTCAATGCCGTTACAAAACAGGCTTTGGCTGTTTAGATCCTTTTGCCACATGGGAATGAATACAGGACTATTAGCAACTGAAAATCTCAACAATTATTACTTTATTGGTCTTGAAACCGGAAACTGTAATCAATTGCTACAAATTTAAAAAGAGGAAACAACCATTGCATTTATGAAGTGAAAACCACTTCATTGAATTTTCAAATGTTATTGTCTATTAATTAATAATGTGACAACTCTTACATACAAAAAAAGGCTGAAATATGAATTGAAGTTACTCTATGTGATGTTTTTTTTGTTGTTGTTGATAAGCAAAGCTAGTAAATGGCACATTTCATTTTTCACTTTGTGGGCCGAATGACATTTTCAAGGACAGGCCACCAGAAACAGAAAAACCCTGTTTCTCTTGGGTCGGGGTCACCCTAAATTGTGTCAGTGTAAATATTTGCATTTTGTATATATTCATTTTAACATGCTCGTCTTCAGTGGTAGTGAGAAAGTTGTTTACAGAATGCCTTTTGCTGCTTTTGAAGGTAAATGAGAACAGAATGTTCTCTACGCATCATTCCGTTAATGAAATTTGACCCGTTTACAGGACAACATGGACCAAACCCTAAACCCCAGACACAAACTGTATGATTTAGGTTTCCTTACGGAATGCAAGGGATCTCTGCCTCTGTTGAACGAATAAATGACCATTTTCTTTACAATTTCTACTTATTTGAATTGCTAGAAGTCACAGTCCGACATATACAGCTAAAAACTCAACTTCGGCTTTTACTTCCTCGAGTAATGGAAACCACACACCCAGAAAAGGAAGGGTAGGTGTTACAATCATAAAACGGACCATAAAGCTGCATCCTCTTCAGAGCGGATTAATTGCGTCAAACACGCACGCGCAGCTGATGCAACTGTAGAGCGTGTTTACAGCACAATGTAAAGCAACTCACGCTATTGATGGTCAAAACAACGTTGCTGAATGAATGTACGCTCATCGATGTAACAATAAGTAGCGTTAATTACAAAAACATACCATACTTATATAATTCCTGAGAAATAATGGCTTTCAGAGTATCGGAGACCGTTCCGATTCAGTTTGTGTAGCTTTTCGAGCGGACGGCGGGCAACTTGTTGACTCTAGTTACATAATATGTTACATATGTAGCCTTTTGTGTTCGTTGACACATTTAATGAATGTTCCTTTCCTCGTCCTGTTCGGCAAAGCTCAACGCTGCGCTGGCATTTACTGTATATTGCTGTACATTTCAATTTCACGATACGGTTTTAATAGTAATTGTGAATGACAAGCGCGAAATGTGCGACCACGTGTTCGCTGGCGTAACTTAGCCTAGACTCACCTTATCAAGTCTAAAAACGAATCGATGACTTCTTTGGCTTCGGGAACGTTGCTGTCATCCTGGGTGAGTTGGGATAATTTTTTCCCGTCGCTGGAGCCAGGCTGTATGATGAACGCCATAATAACGCCGATGGCAGACGCGATCAGAGTGGTCACCAGAAAGAAGAGCATCGCCCAGCCGCCCAGCTTGCCCAGGGCTTTGGGGTCAAGGCTGGCAGCTCCTGACACCAGACTGCAGACCACCAGAGGAATGATGATCATCTTGAGCAGGCGGATGAGGGTGTGTGTGTTTATATATATATATATATATATATATATATATATAAAGGTGTATATATATATAGATAGATAGTGGTCTTTAAAATTATTTGGATACTTTATAAATGTGTAAATTCCATTAAATAACTATAAGTATCAAATGAATATCAAACCAGTTGGAATTTATTTTAAAGAAGTAAAGCACACGCACACTTTTCAATTAAAACATTTAACAAAAAGCACTTTGTTAGTTTTAAAATAATAAGACAATAGATTTACCGGTCAAAATTGCAAAGGTTAAAGTAATTACAATTAAAATTGTTTAAAGTAATTAAATAACAAACACTCACATTGTTGAAGTTCTGATAAAAGGTCTTGCGATTTATTTGCAACTATGTCTAAAAGAAAGTTGTCTCTTAGAAAAAGTCTATCATTTGTTGCAGAATTCATTAATTTAATCATTTATATTTATTTAATATCTTTTATAAAGTGTGGCTTAAAGGGATAGTTCGCCCAAAAATGCGGGTAACCAAACAGTTGATGGTCCCCATTAACTTGCACAGTATTTTTGACCAAGATGGCCACCAATTTGACTAACTTGACCTACGTGGATACTGGCGTACTGTCTTTATCTTTATATGGCAGTAATAGTAAGAGTAGTATGCTAGTATAGTTTCAGCCTTTGACTCATCCGTGACCTAAAAAAGATTACCTGACCCAACCTCTACACCCAACCAGGCTTGCTGCTTTGCCACGAAATATGTTTGCAGAGCATCAAAAACGACAATATCTCATTGTTAGCAGAAATCTGGTCTTTGTTTCTGTCCTCACTTCTGTAATCAAATATGCTGAAGGTTGAGGTCCCCGCATAGAGCCAGAGTCAGATTATCTTTAATAAACAAAACCCCTCATTTTCTTTAAACAGTTTTTTTTTTTTTCAGCGTGGTGCTTTATGGGAAGAGCTTTCATGTTAATAAGAGCAGTCTACTCTCTATAAACAGTGCTAGCGCACTCATCAGGGGTCCCTTTTTGAAAGCTAAGGGTCTGCTTATATAAGGTTCATCTTTTCTGTATTGGACCGTGTGAACCGTATTTCACAGAAGCACGACATTCCACAGATATTGTGTGCTGGTCTGAGAGAGAGATTTGAGTGCCAGAAAGCCATACGGTGAGAGGGGATGATGTGCGGATCGTCCGAAGCAGGGGGCCTCCCTTCTCAAAACAGAGTGTTTGCTCTCTCTTCTGTGCGTGCCACACACGCCACGACCTTGATGCCCTTGAATAAACACCACTGCCCTGCTTGGCTCCATATATGACCTCCTACAGAAAACCTGCTCTGTCTGGGACGTATTACATTTGAATTCTACAGTAGATCTGAGCAAAATCCCCAGATGTTTCACTGCATGTGAATGTTCAAGAAACGTTCTCTCAACATTCTGGCAAAGTTCTCTCAATTATCTTCATTTGTTCAGTTATCTGGTCTTTAATAATGTTCTCATCGTTCATTGAATGTTTTTTCTGAAATGTTTTATCTAACATTTTGAAACGTAACTTGTTTCAGAATGTTCAGAGAACATTAAAGCATCCTCATAACATTTGCAAAATGATAAAATGGAATGTTCTCTTAACGTACAAATAAAAAAGTAAAAATATTTTTAAAACTTTTTTTTTTTTTTTTTTTTAAAGTGGATGTTTTCAGAGAACATAATGTTAGCAAAATTGTTGGAGCATATTTTTGTTAGCTGGGCTGATACTGCAATTCTGGAGATGGTAAAGACTTTTTTATAATCCTGCTATCTCATTTTATTGCACTGCTTTGAATGTCGCTGAGTCATTTTACTACTGCAGTGTCATTGGGATGTCCTTATTTTTTTAAATTTCAAAACTAATGGGAACCACAGATATGAATTCATAGAAACGGCATTAGCAGCTGTTGCTGATTAACATCTGTACACAAACGCAGTTTATTCTGCAGTGTACTTCAACTTAAATCAATGTTTTATTACATAATTTGTTGATTTTTTTTGTAAAATAAATGTAATAATTTAATACCTGCAGCCTTTTTTATGAGTAAAACTTATTAATGATGAAGAAATGAGGACATCCTTAAAATTAGTGACAATGTATTTTCTATCAATTGTTAAATAGTATTTTATTAATTTTTATTTTATAATTTATTACATTTGTTTTCTTTATCTAAAGAAATATACTACAATTTGGAGTATTTGAAGTATTATGCCTCGATGCATGTCATTGAGCCATTCTTTTCCTGCCTAAGAACTGTTACAGTATGCAGTGCTAGCAAAACAAAGCAAACAGGGTAAAATGACCTGAGAGTCACATGACCTTTTACAACAGGGAAAAGGAGAAAGCTCAATACAATGTCGTAGGTTTTCATGTCATGGGAAAGCAAGCCCAGGCACAGAGTTTGTGAAGTAAAGCACCAGAATGGCATCAGCAGAGAAACCAGATACTGTATGTCTGTCTTGCAAACCTGGCACCCTTCTTTTGGTTCTCTTCAGCCTCTGTATAACGTTCACACAGAGACTGCATTGTTCAGAAAAGTACAAGATAGCAAGAAAACAACAGTGCAAGAAGAGGGTTATATAAGAATATGTGAATATATGTTCCCTGGACAGCATGTGGTGAATGTGGTTGTTGGTCTACATGTGTTCGAGATTCCCAAACGGCACGTGATTATAAATAGAAAGTCATTCTGAACTGAAATTTGGTATGGTAGCATTGCAGTATTTGAACGTACTGTAAGTTTAGGATAAAAGCATCTCAAAAGAATAGTTTTGCATGTAAATGCAAAGAGTCCTCTGTGTGGAGTTCTTCTGAGGGCAGACAATGTAAAATGCTGAGTCACCCTTACTGAGCTGAATCAATGGATATCCAAGCTATTATTTTGAATCGTCTGCATTGAAATGATGGAATGCAGCTTATTACAGAATAAAGGTTCATTCTAAACTCAGTTTAGGTGTTGGAAATGTTCTTGTCAGGTCACGCTACAGATCCATTCAGCTATGCTTTTCTTCCTTGGAGACAGTCCAGACAGCAGAAACAGACATGTGGTGAGATTTAATGGCACACAGATGAATAAAACTGCTGAATCATGGCAACTAAGTAAGGCGTGCTTGATCATTGTGAAAACCTTCTGCTCTCCTTTCTGGACTGGGACTATTAGTCGATTTTATCTGTCTAGCACTTTTCACATTGCACATTGTTCCAAAGCCACTTTACAGAAAATCATGATGTATGTTTATCAAATCTTCATGCCTTAGTTGCAATTAGCAGATTAGAGCTGATGATAGTTTACACTCTGTGACAATTGTTTATAATATATAAACAATCAAGCAGTTGAGATTTGTGTGAATATGGTATTATTATTATTATTTATTAGGAAAATGTAATAAAATCCAAACATAAATGATTCATGAATTAAACTATCAGTTTTGAATCTTTTTTTTTTTAGCTGAATACAACCAGTACGTTTATATTTGACCATTTTTTCAGTGTATGTCCAATTCTACAACATTATCATCATGACAATACAATACCATAAACCCTAAAACACAGGAAAATATTATATTTTAAATGCCATTCAGCTCAAATAATACAAACACAGTTATAAGCTGCTCATTTCTGCTTTCAAACCCTTCAGAAACTGGCCCTATTTGCATTGTAAGTGCTTGATTTTTGCAAGAAAACAAGGGATGAGTCAAAACTATTTTTGTGGTAATCAACATTATGCCAAATGCAGCCAACAGAGCTTAAATTTACTATTGTATTGAACACAGAATATTCCTTTAAATTTTGGTTTGACAAAACTATCACATGACTTATATGTGAACAAATCTAAGTCTTTAGAAATAAGGTGCACTCATATTACTGTGTGAATGGGAGAAAGTGCAACGCGCAATATGACAGAATAAGTCCCGCCTCTATTGGCCAATTCACCCTCACCGGGAGTTTGATTGACAGGTGAGCTGACCAATCATAACACCGAAACAGGCGTTTTATCCGATGAACTAGACAGGAGACAGAGTAAAGGCATATGGCAAGCCGTTTAGCATTAAATACCCCTTTTGACTAGTCAAAACTAAATTATGACTAGTACAGAAAGTCCAATTCCAGATATCTATTCTGCAAGTTTTGACTCGTCGTAATTGGAATTAAGATATCTGCAATGCTATTATGACTAGTTATAGCCTATTCTTCCATTGACTTCCATTGGAAAATATTTTCTGATATCTACAAATGAGTTTTGACTGGTAGAAATTGTAATTAAAGATATCTATATTTGATTCTGTACGAGGCATAATTCTAATTAGAGATATATCAAATTACAATTTTACTAGTGCTAATTAAACTAGAGATATCTCTAACTGAATTACCACTAGTAAAAATTATAATT